CTTCCATACCTTTCATATACCTAATTTTATATGCATATATTGTGCTAAGCTGCTGCTGAAATTCTGATCATATTGAAAGTTAAACTCATTTTAAAGATACTGAAACTGTCTACAGTATTTACATGTAGAGTGTCCTTCTCTAAAACATTTTGTAACCATTTGTGTCAGATGTTTAAGTGAAATAATCCAATTCAGGATTAAAAGAATTGAAAATTTTAAACTTTTAGTGAAAATGCAGCTGTAATGTCAAAACTAGATCCTGAAACACATTTTTGCTATATTAACATCTTTGGCTCATTTGTGTTCAAAATGCCTCGGGGCTTGTTAGTAAAGTATTGGTAAATCTGAAGGAGGAGGTATTTTTCTGCTGGAGTCATCATGAGAGAAAGAGCACTGTGATGTGTGATAATATTAAGCCTGGTATCTACCACCTGTTGGTATTTACCAATGCCCAAAAGTGGTATCCACTGATGTATTTTATTTTATCATGTAGAACAGTCTTCATTTTCACATATGTAAACTTGATGCAACAAATTCACCTTTTTGTGATCCATACTGGCATTCAATTTAAAGCTTTCAAAAATTATTATAGTGTGGGTAAATATGCATATTATGATATTGATGAATTTGCATGCTAAATATATAGCTAAAAATAAATGGGTTATTTAATATAAACTGTTTGTTTTCTGAATAAAGACTGACAGAGGATTTGACAAGGCTACTTTTGAAAACCAGATGTCTGTTATGAGGGGACAGGTAAGACTGTTTTTTTACATTTTTGTTCATGTGTTTAATTTGTCATCACACCTCAGCTGCTTTCTTTAGAGCTTCAAAAACTGACTCCTATGAATGACATTTGAAGGTATTTTCATCTGAGAAGACTAAATTTCTTTCTAGAGTTTGTTCTTATTTGTGGATAGCTAAAACAGCAGAAAGTGTATGCTGGTTTTTTTATTATTTTTATAGAAAATGCTTTTATTCTAGTTCTGTGTTATTGTTTTTGTGAGGGATGGGGGAACATAACTGTATATTCTTAGCAGGTATTTTAAAAATGAAAGAGTCATATATTTGGAAGGAAAATTTGATGTCTGATTTCATGATGGTGTTAAAATATATGTGACTTTATTTTAGAGGGTCGACATGATTATTAAAAGCAATATTAGGTAATAAAATTTCTTCATCCTATCAAATGTTGAAACCATACTTCAAAACAGTCCAGCCATTTTCAGTTTAGAAATTTGTTCAAATTTAAGTGCTGGGCTTGTTTTGTTTTCTGGGTTGTTTGTGGTTTTTTTTAAACAATAAAGTAGGTGAGGAGGGGGTTTCTCCATTTCCTGCTACTTTACAATTTGGCTGATGTGAAATACTGGAGAAAAAGCTTTAGCTAAGAACAAATTTAGTTCATTGTTGGTATAAAAGAGTGATTTCTGCAAGTGTAAGGCAATTGAACTAGGCAAATAATTAGTCCCGTTTACCCTGAATTTATTGAAACTTAGTCCTTGTGTTCATAAATTCAACATGGATAGTTTTAAGACAATTCCTAGAGTGTCTTAACTCAATGTTTTCTCTGTAGAATTTCCTGTATCAAGATGTACCTTGCACAAGACTCAGCTCTGCTTAGTCAGACATAATCCCAGTTACCATCTTTTGTGTGGTAGCTAAAAGACAGCAAACCTTACTTACTAAATTGAATTATAGGAATTGTTTCTGAAATAACTCCTCTGAGAAGTTTGTGTAGTCACTGGAAGGTGGGTTCTTGAAGTACTCATGCATCCTAAACGGTATTAAGTAGCTTTTTCTGATGAGACAATTGCCTTCAAGGAATCTGTTATTTAACAAAACACTTGAGGAAAAACATGATTGATATAATTGAGAGTGATATAGCTGAGGCTGTCAAAATTAATTTTCCACTATAAAGGCTGCATCTGGACCCTTTCTTCACACACTGTCCCTCAGGTGGATTTTAGGAGATACTTGTTTTAGTTTTGGGGTTACCTCTCTAACTATATGAGAGTGTGTTTCACTCTGTGGGAAATGTCAGGTGTTCAGGCATGGAAGAAATGCAGATAATGAGTAATCCTTGGATGCTATTGGAAATACATTGGCAGACAGTGCTTTTTAGCACTGATTTTAAACTTGCTTTTGGTGTAAAACCAAAGTGTGTTATGAGGGCATTATAGAAGACTTGGCTATCTAGATCACATGCTAAGGGATTCATTCAGTTGTGATGAATTTGCAGTATATCCAAAGAATTCAACTATACCCTTAAAAATGAGAAATTAAGAATTAGAAAATGAAGAATCTAGATACAGAAACTGTAGGGAAACATACCTTGCATGGAACAGTCAAGGTCTTTAAATCTAAGACAGCAAACATAGTTAGAAGCCTGTTTCTGTGAAGTGTAGGAAAATTTTGGGAAGAGTTTCAAATCCAAAAGAAACAGTTCTCTCAAGAATGTAGAGTCTAAGCAAGGGGTAACACATCTACGAAAGTTTGCCTTAGAACTTTGAGAATGTAAATGTCAAGTGGAGGTGCTGGCAGAAGCAAATTGCAGTAAATCATGCAAAAGACTTTGTTGGGGTTCTGTGGCCATGGAAGAGCAGAAGCAGAGGGATCAGCCTTACAAGGAAGAAAAGGGCATTGTGCATGGGAAAAAAGGCTTGGTATTAAGGATAATGCAAATGTGTCACTAGAGCTAAATTGAATACTTGCCTCAGTTTTCAGCAGGATAACATTGAACATGGAGTAAGTTATGAGGGCATTCCATGAGCACTGAAGTTTTGGAGGAAAGATAACAGACTCCTGGGAGCTGACAGCTGAATTTGGGTCTTAGCACTGGGTTTGGTATGAGCTAATTATATGGCTTTATATCTTCTGATATGAAAATAAGTTGTAGCTAAAATGCTGGTACATCCTATGTTAAATCATGTTAATGGCTTTCTTTAGGCATTTTTTTCACTAAAGGTGCAATGTTTTCAAGAGATGCGCTAAATTTAAAATACTCTTAGAATTTTCTGAAAATTTGAAGAGGACTGCATGAAATAGGAAAAGAATGGAAGGGTAGACAGCAGTAGGATGTATTCATGTTACCAAATAAATAAAATATTTCTACTTGCAATAGCTATCTTTTGAAATGAATTTATTTAGCAGTACAGTCAGTACAGAATTGATTGAAGAGTGGCATCTAAAATGATAAGTCTGATAGTTTTCTTTGTGCACCCTAACCTCACCTGCTTTTACTCTTTTTAGATACTAAACCTTACTCAGGCATTAAAGGATGAAAAGAGTCCCATTCAGCTTGTTCAGATGCCACGTGTGATTGTAGAGCGAAGTAGCACTGGAAGTCAGGGCCGAATTGTTCATCTGAGTAACGCTTTCACACAGACCTTTCACAGCAGGAAGCCTTTCTTTTCCTCCTGGTAGCAACAAAAATACATGGGAAGAGTAAGTTTCTCTTAACTTTAGAAAGCTACTTCTGTGTAAAGGCTCTGCAATAATGTACTTCTGCTGTATACCAAGAGCTCTGACTGCCAACACCTCAGAACTTAAATTCTAAAGACTTAAGAAATGTATTTTGAATGTAATAAAAGTTTACAATTTTTGTGTCAAAATTGTGAATTCTTATGTCAGGGAATGAAAAGAATTTGTCCATACTGTATTTTTATAGGCTAAATTAATGTATTCTGAATAATATTCTGGAGAAGGGAAGAAAATTTGCATATGCTGAGAAACTAATTTTGAGTACAATAGGAATTTTTTGTTTAATATAAATGTGAGAATCCATACACTATAAGTTTCTTTTTATATGGCCTTTAAAAAAAAAACAAAACGTTTAGAATGTTATCTTTGATTGTGAAAATGCTTTTTCTTGGAATTTCTTCCTGGTATTTTGAACTGGTTATAGATTTTTGTAGACTAGTTACTTGAAAAGTCATGCACTTAAAAAAAAAATCAATCTGTCCTTGAAATAAAAGTTAAAGAAATGGAGAAGGAGGAAAATGCTCCAAGTAGGCTTTTTTTGCACACAGGGACCAAAAATAGTTTAATAGTTGAATTACAGCAAAATTCAACCCAAGTAAATACACAGTTTCTACTGTGACAAAATGCACTCAGTGTATGTTTCAGAGGCTGAAATGTCACTGTAGTGTTTGGCACTTGTATATTTAAGCACATGTATGGAGATCTGTGATATTTCTTTGGAGATGCATCACCATGAAGGAATTGAATTGCACCATGTTGTTACAGGTTTGTTTTGCCATTCATGTAAAAATGTGTTCATCTCTTGTCACCAGAGTGGTTCCTCTGCTAATGACAGAGGCACTAATGTGTTCATCACAAAGCCAGTCTGCCTTTGAAATTTCTACCAAAACACAGTTTGGGTTTTTTGACTGGAAAAAAAAAAAAAGGAAAAAAACCTGGAATACCTACAGCACAGAGAATTAATTTGTGCCCTGGATAATGTGCTCACCTGCCAATTGCCATTTGCATTTATGTTTAAGTTACCTGGTTTAAGACTTGACAGTCATGTTTCTAGGTCTGTGACTTATGTAATGTGGGAAATATTTTTATTTTAATAATTTTCTGGTCATTTAAGACTGGGAAGGGGAGAAAGATTGCTGCTTTTATGAAACTTTCAGTATTTCAGACATTGCTGTATTTTGTAATTCTAAGCAATATTGTTGAACTCAGAAATAATAAAATGCTTGTATTTTATATAATTTTGAGTGGGTGTGAATATTAATGTAGTGTGTCAGCAACTTCAACAGCCTGAAATGTGTAAACCTTAAATGTCAAACACGGTGCAGTGCGGTTCAAAAGCGAGGGGAATGCCTCTATAAGGTCGTTTCTGTCCGCGCAGTTTGTTAAGCAATGAGCGCCGCTGTGTGTGGGGCTCCCGCGGCCCCGGGCCCGCTCCGGGCTCTGCGCGGGGCCGCCGCTCCGCTGGGGGGCGCCACCAGCCCTCCCGGCCGCGCGGTGCCCGTCGGGACGGAGGCGGTGCCATGGCGGCGGCGGGCGCGGAGCTGCCGGGGCCCGGCGCGCTCGCCCTGCTCGAGCTGGCGCCCGGCGCGCCCTGCTGCCCTCACGGTGAGCCGGGCCCGGGGCTCACCTCCCCAGCGTCCCTGTGCGCGGCTCCCGGCGCGGGCTGATCTGCCGCAGCCCCTGTGAAGGCCGTGTTGTGGAAGCTCGGCTCTTGCAGCGGAGCAGTGAAACAGGGCTGCGGCTGTTCCCTGTGTTATCCTGTCCTCGCGTTTGTCCCTAGGTCCTGCGCTTCTGTTTGTGAAGACCAGCCAAGGAAAAGAGGAAGGAAGAAGATTCTATGCTTGTTCGGCTTGTAGGGATAGAAAGGATTGTAACTTTTTCCAGTGGGAAGATGAGAAGGTAAGAGGGCACTGCTGAAGGTTGTGCTGAAGACCAGCGCTGCCAAGGTGTCAGAGGCCTGGAGCACCTCCCCTGTGAGGGAAGGCTGAGAGAGTTTGGGTTATTCGGGTTATTCAGCGCGGAGAAGAGGAGGCTCCGGGAAGAGCTGATAGCAGCCTCCCAACACCTGAAGGGGGCTCCAAGGAATCCGGAGAGGGATTTATTGCAAGGGCGCGTAGTGGAAGGACAAGAGGTGATGGCTTTGAGCATTCAGAGGAGAGGTTTAGATGAGTTATTAGGAAGAAGTTCTTACTGTGAGGGTGGCAAGGGGCTGGAAAAGTTGGCCAGAGAAGCTGTGGATGCCCCATCCCAGGAAGTGTTCAAGGCCAAGCTGGGTGGGCTTCTGAGCATCTTGGTGTAGTGGGAGGTGCCCCTACCCATGGCAGGAGGGTTGGAACTGGATGATCTTTTTATGTCCCTTCCAAACCAAGTCATTCTTTGGTTTTATAAAACATTGGCGATTTTTTCCTCTACCTAGCAATTTTAAAAGTATATTTTATTGTGGAAATCTCAGGCAAGTGCTATTTTCTAAACTTTGTGTAATAGTTGATATTTAGCTGAGCACTTGTTTCTGTCAGGAGAACATGTTTCAAATAGAGCTTTCAAGAAAGGCTGTGTACATTTTGAGCAAACCTGGCATTTGCTATTCTATTGCCAGAACATATAGGAAGTTTGCCAATGCTTTGCAATGTTGAACAAAATTGGGTACTTCTGATCCCAAGATGCCCTTGTTTCCCCTAATTAAGACAGAGAAAATCCATTGGATACAAGCAACAGTAGGGTATACAAAATACTGAGATGGCGGGGCTCGGCATGGTGCTCAGTAGTGTCGGAATATCTGCAGCAATTTCTCTTTGTCATTCATTTTGAATATCACTTGTCTTATGATGTCTTTTCTTGTATTGAGTTTTACTGTTGTCTTCTTTAAGTAAAACAGTTACATAAGTTTTGGCCAAATGTTTTGAAACTGTTGTGAAACCATGAGTATGTCTTGTGGGGACAAAGTAAAAGACTCAGAGAAGAGTGTGAGAGACTGAAATGTTCAGTGCAGTCTCTGCACCTAAAGACTCAGGTGCAGATTGTAACAAGGAGCTGTCATGGCTTAGAAGTGATTTCACACAAGACTTGGGCAACTTTTCTACTGTCATCAATTTGTCAGGATCAGATCAGAGTTCTTCAGAGGGACCACAACTGCTGGCACACATTAATGGAAAGGATGGCTCTTTCTGTCTTCCTCAAAATCACCTTTTGAGTTTTTCTCTGAGTATTACATGTGATAGGAGAATGAAATGCATAGCTTAAATTCATGATGAGAGACTTGTGTTGTTTTGCAGCATGTCCCTGTGCTGCAGGCATACTTGCTCTTCTGAAACAATAAATGTGATTATTTTTCCTTGCTGAGTAGCTGAAGCATGAGATGTTTGGTGCACCCTTTTTTCATGTTGAGATTTGATGCACCACACACAGCAGTAGCTGTTACCTTTGTAACTTTTCATGTATGCAAATTTTACAGGTGTCAGAAGCTAGGCTTGCAGCACGTGAAGAATATAATAGAAGTCATCAGCCTTGTTTTACACACAGACAGAACGTGGACAGGTATTGTTAATGTATATTTTCTGCACTAAAGATGTAGTAATGCAGGTTTAGGTACTCTGAATGTAGAGATAACATTTCAAGATTCTTTAAAATATGAAAAGATGAATTTGGGCAAATAAGAATTGTTGTTTGGCAATGGAAAGGAAATAGCATGAAACACTGAACTAGAGCATGGTGTTTTCACCCCAGGAGCTGGGGGTGGGGGTTGGGTTTTTTTGGGGTATGTATAGTCATTCCTATGGTAGTGCTCCTAGTGTGCTTACAAGAGGTCAGTAGCAATTGCTGTTAAAAAAAGATTTATTCCTGACTTTAGTCTACAAAAGTAACAGGCTTAACATTTTGAAAAGAAGCAAAGGTAACATAGTAATAAGTGGTCTCTGAATTTCATGTGTAAACATACAGGACTTTGCTCATAGTTGATGGAGTCTTCACTCTGTAATCTAGTTATTTTATGGAGATTCCCAGTATATTTGGTGGCAATATTTTATGTGCTTCAAAGTGTCCTTTGAATTTATTTTTTTTTACTTCATTCTTGTGGAGTTTTGTGAGAGTGGTGTGTAAACTGCATTGTCAGTTTAAATGTCTGAACTCCTAAAATATAAAAAAACCCCTCCATGGCTCCCCTTCCTGTCTTTGAGAGAGGCTTTTGCCAAACTTTGTTCCCTATTGTCTTTTGTATTTAAAGGTACAAGAATTTTGTTCTGTTGCCGTTATCAAAGAGGAGGTTTTGCCAGGAATGCCAGCAATTGCTATTGCCAGCAGAATGGAAGAAACACTCAGATCACCAGGTCCTGTGTGATATCACCACTGCCCAGCTGAAAAGTCCAAGTCAGCTTCTGTATCCACTGGAGAATAAAAAAACAAATGCACAGTATTTATTTGCAGACAGAAGTTGCCAGTTCCTACTGAATCTCCTTACAGATTTAGGATTCAGACGAGTGCTCTCTGTTGGAACACCCAGGTACATCCCTGAGAATTGTTGCACCTTCATGTAATATTTCTCTCAAAGCTGTACAGCTTACTAATGATTATAGTCAATGGTTCTCCCATAACAAGAGGTTCACTATTGGTGAACCTCTCTTGGTTGGGATTATCCAAGCATCTAGTGAGGTCTAGTTTTGAACTTATAAGATACCTGAGAGGACTGTGGCAACACTGCCAATAACACACATACACACTTCAGATCTCTGTGGTGGTTATGGAAGTGACGTGGAGTTTCTGACCTTGTGTGTTTTTGTGTGGTGATCCAGGAGACTCCGCTGATTGTCATCTTTCAAGGCTAACCTCTTTTTCTAACTTGGAGTGCAGGCCAAATGGAATCACCCAAGTTTAGGCTACTCAGTTTCCTCTATCTGTTTGGGTTTTGTTTAGTAAAGTACCCAGCATCTTGTCTTGCAAGATCATTTCTGAAGTCAGTCATTATGTATTAAATTCTTCCAATTATACTTCAGGCTTCATGAAATGATCCAGTCAAAAGCGTCACAAGAAGAAGAATTTAATGTTCGAAGCCTTCTGCTAGATATTGATTTCAGGTGGGTTTTAACAAATGTTTACATATCTGAAGAACATGTACAAAGATGGGTGTTCCTGCTGCTTTAAGGGATAAATTGCTGGTTGTTTTCCCTTTCTTGTCTCTGCATCCCTGTTCCTGTATGCATACACAAATGACATCCAGTTGATGAGAAAAGTAAGTATACTGAATAATTTCTCAGTATTGGTATGTGTTGTCAGTAATCAGAACCCAAAGATGATGTTTTTCCTGAGGCCTGTTTTCACCCTAAATATCCTATCTTAGCATAGACCAAAAGTTACTTATATTTTTCTACTCCTATCAAAATTTATTTTACAGGTATTCACAATTTTACACAGAGGATGAATTTTGCCACTACAACATGTTCAATCATCATTTTTTTGGCGGAGAGGTAAGGCCAAGAATTTATTGAGTGCTTTGGTAAAAAAGTGCATGTTGTTGATGCAGAATTTTGTAGGAAACTCATGACTAGTCTAGTAGAAAACATGATGGGAAAACATAAATTAATTAAAAACATTTTAATAGAAGCAGCAATTAAGGTGTGTAAGCCACATTAGTTAGCATAAATGTAATAGTCAACTTTGAATTGAATGGAAGAGAACTACTGAAAAAGAGGCAGTTTCATGCTTTGATTTCAGTAATGTTTTATATGTTAGCTGAACACGGCCCTTGTTTTCAGTCCTTCAAATCTATGTGCATTTTTTGTGTTTGTTTTTTTTTTAATGCTACCCAAGAGGAAATTCACCTCCACAAGAGGGAAGCAAAGTTCCCTCTTCTGCTGTGATCGGTTTATTACCAGAGACAATATGTTTACAGTTCTTGAATCATGATTCCTGGAAATTAACCTCTGTTTCTTACAGGCTGCACGTGAAACTTGCAGGAAATTCTTGTGTGAAGAGAATGGTGAAAGAGTCATTATGGTAACTGATCCCCCATTTGGAGGTTTAGTGGAAGCACTGGCTTCTAGCTTTAAAAAGCTGATGGCAATGTGGAGGGGGACAGAAAAAGGAGGTATGTATTACAGCCAGCCAGATGGGTGGCTTGTGCTGTAACATCACTTTAAGGAAAAAGTACCTCTCTATAAGTTTGTGATTCTTGCTACTCAGGTGAATGTGAGCACCCTCATGTTATCATTTCTAAAGATGAACTATCATGTACCTAATTTAGTCTCCTGATATTTTTAGTTCAGTAATGCCCAATTCTCAAAGTCTGTCTTAAAATCTTAAAAACGTTTCCCTTTTTTTTTTTTTTTTGCAAATCTACTTTGCAATTAAAATGCACTTTAAAGGTAGAGAAAAATAAGCTATCAAACCAGTAAATTTTCTTAGCAACCTAAGTGGATATCAAGAGTTTAGTTACATGGCACTTACATCTCCACATATCCAATATGCCAAAACTTTCTGTTGCCTAAGAGAACTAGTGCTTCTGCCCAACATGATGTACATATCCATGTTTGTGTACTTGGAATGTCCACTGTAAATTTCTCATGCTACATGTACTATGTTTTTCTCCTATGTACCCCCAAGGTTTTTCATTACTAGGTCATGACAACAGAGAGATGCCCATGTTCTGGATATTCCCATACTTCTTTGAGTCTCGTATTCTTGACTTTTTCCCAAGCTTCAGTATGATGGATTACCAGGTATGGCTGAACCCAGTGAATCTGCTAATTACCAGCTGTGTGCAATGTGAAAGGAATAGGAGTGAAAGCAGGTGCAGTGGCAGTGCTTCTATATAGCTTGTTCCTGTGAAGCCTGGATTCTGCATTTCTATTAGTTGTATCTGTGATAACTTGATCATGTTCCTGTTATGTATCTTTAACTCACCTGTCATTTATCCATGAACTCATTTCTTCTGGCAGGCTTTCAGTATAACAAATTTGCACTAATTCTGACAGGTGCTTGTTGCAGATAAAGAGTATTTCATTCTTCATAGATGAATTGATAAAGAGTATTTCATTCTTCACAGATGTTCAATATCAGTGGGTAGTGCCCAGGCCTAGGAAAAAAAACCCCATATATATTACAAAATTAAGGTCTTTCATCTCCAAAACTTCAACTCCAAAACATCAGATTACAATTACAGTGATGGAAATGTTTGGAATTACTTAATTAGTGAACTTGTCAGCGATAAAGCAATAATCTGGCATCAGCTTCTTCAGTATTGTATCCATTCAGTGCATAATTTAGGCACACGTACTTCAGTGTGTTTTGAGAGCTCATGGGTATTCATGATGCTAAAGGTTTATTTTTTTCATGTAACAACTCTGCATGAATTCTGGTATTGATATTCTGAACAGTCTTGTGGAATGAAAATTGTTGAAGAAAATGGAAAACTCAGGCTAGACTGCATTCCTGCCAGTGTTCACAGCTGAGAGTTTTTGTGACAAGTCTCTGAAGGCAGTGCTGGAAAAAGCAGGCTGATTAGATTTGCAACTTTGTAATTTTTCTGAGATGGGTTCAGATGTCATCCCTTGTACTGACAAACCAAGCTGTATAGATACTTTTATACAGCAGATTGCTCTGTTATCAGCTGCAATGTTATCCTAGATATCCCATGCAAATGAGAATAAAGGAATAAGTACAAGATGATTATTGAAGTGTAGTGAGCCTGGCCTAATACTATGTTTGCACAAATTTACAGGTAAATGAAACAAAAAACTTGATGTAGAATTTGTAACCTGATTTGGGGTTAGAGTCTTGTATATAAATACAAGCATTTCATAAGGCACTTGTAAAGATAATAAATATGTAAATAGCTCTGCCTGTGCTTGGCATTCAGTTTAAGAATCTTTTCTATGGTTTTGTTTTTCTAGGTAGACTATGATAATCATGCACTGTATAAACATGGCAAGACAGGCCGTAGGCAGTCTCCTGTCCGTATCTTCACGAACCTTACCCCAAGTGTGATTGTGCTTCCTGAAGAAGAGGGATATAGGTAAGATATATTAATGCTCAGGTGACTTTTGAAAGAGTATCTTTGTTCTTAACTAGGGCATAAAGTCTCCAAAGGAGTTTGGGATGGTGCTGTTCCATGGTGTCTTGCCTAACTTGGATGCCAGCCTTAAGACCACATTTTTCTGTCTCATTCTAAAGTTGCATATTATATAAACAATGGATAGGAGAGCTGAAATATCTAAAAAGACATTTAAATTTTTCAGTGTGGAATTATGAGATTCCTTATTTTGTGTGTAGGAAGTACTGTCTACATCTACAAGAGAATTTTACAGCTATGTCTGATAATCAGCTGTTAAAACAGTAGTAAAAAAATGAACTTGTAAGAGAAGCATCAAGGAGAGAGGAATTCAGTTTCATTTGCTACTGATACTGTTGGTAATTTGACCTGAATTTTACTGTGTGGATGTATTGTGTGTAAATGGCCAAAGTGGTCATTTATGTAGCAAAGATTGAATTTTTAATTCAACAAAGTGATTTTGCAGTCCTTACATTAGTTGTTAAGATTGTATACAATTAATTGTTTTGTGAGCCAATAGTGAAGCAGTACATCTTTTCCCCCAGATTTTGCACTGTATGTCAGCGATATGTTAGTTCTGGTAACCAGCACTGTGAGATATGCAATTCATGTACATCAAAAGTAAGTATTTTCACTTCTTTCTAAATGGAAGTTTTAGCAGCAGTCAGATAACCTCTGCAGTACTTGCTTTGGTAAAAACCTGTTTGGATACTGAGTTCCATGGGAAACCCACAGCAGTTCAGTTTCACAGACTTATTACCTTCACAGTTCATCTTCCATAACCCACTGGGAATTAATTTCTCTTTCCCTAATTCCTTTGTGTTGCAAAGAGGACAGGACAAGTTTGCTGCTTGCACTTAGACCAGAATTTACCCAGCTGTGGTCTGTTGACACATGCATTTTTGTTCATGCTTTGAAGTTGTAGAACTTGCTAATTTCAAAATTTCATCTGTGGTTTTCACAGATTCTCAGGACTGTTGTTCTTAGTTGCAGTCCTTCCTACAGAGGAGTTGTTCCTGTGAACAACTCCCATGGGGACCATACATGAGTAGTTCTGTTTTAAGATAAAATCAGTGGGGGGTTCAATAAACAAAACCATTTATTTGTCTTTTGTAGGATGGCAGACGATGGAAACATTGTGTTCTTTGCAAAAAATGTGTAAAGCCCTGTAAGTACAGAAAAATATTTTCTAAATAAAAGTGCATTTAGTCCAAAGAAACTGAAATTCCAAACCAGAAGAGAAAATATTCTGTGAAAGAAATAAAATGTAATTCAGAAGACATAGAATAAACAAAAAGTCTCAATTTCACACAAGTTACTATTCTTTAGTTTAGCTATACTTGCACTGTGTGGAAGTGGAATAAATTGTTGCCAGGGCACACTAAATCCCATTTATATCTATCATGGCAAAACATAAATATTTCCAATAGTCTTATAAGTATTTATTGCAGTGACTTGTGAGGGTTCCTCAGGGTGAGAGAGATGGACAAGAATCTTGCTTCATGATCAGAAGGCTGGATTTATTAATATATGATATATAATACATTATGACTATACTAAAAGGAATAGAGAGAGAAGTTGCAGAAGCTGCTAAGCTAAGAATAGAATAGAATCTAAAAACAAGAGAGCTCTCTGTGAATCTGTTCCAGAGCTTGGACCTGTGATTGGCCCTTAATTGTAAACATGGAACATAAGCCAATCACAGGTGCACCTATTGCATTCCACAGCAGCTGATAATTATTGTTTACATTTTTCTTCTGGGGCCTCAGCTTCCCAGAAAGGACAAATCCTAAAAGAAAGGATTTTATGAAAAAATGTCTGTGACAAGTATTTCCTAATTTTCTAAACTTTGAATTTCCTAAACAAGTAGGCAAGTACTAAAATGTTTGAGAGATGATGATAAAATTATGTTTCATGCACAAATTTAGTTGTATTTATACCTCTGTATAAATTGCTGAAGCCATTATCTTTGTTACAGTTACAACAATCAAAATCTGTAAGTATATTGTAACATCTGCACTATTTTTGTTTTGAAGATGACACACAGGATAAAAGTTCTAATGGCAAAATAGTTCACACTTAATTTGACAGTATGTCTAGTAATGTGCTAAGGGACCAGAAAGTGACCACATCTATCTTTGTAAAGCTAATCCAGAATTAAAAACCTGGTAATGTGGCCTGTATTTAAAGCTTAGTTTCAGAATGTTTTAAACTTTTCTAAGATCATAAGTCATGTTATCTATTTTTCAGCTTGGTTTCACTGTGACAATTGCAAGTGCTGCACTCTTGAGAAGCACAGCTGTGGGAAGAGTGACAGTGGCTGTTTCGTTTGTGGCAAGGCCGGTCACAAGCGCAGCGCCTGTCCCAGTCTGTCCCGCAGCAGAGCAGCTGGGCAGTAAGTGGGATACTGCATTCATACACTCAAATGCAGCATTCAGATGGGATGAGATCTTATGCCAGGGAATCAATTCACAAAGAGATGATTTTCCACTTTAGGTGCTGATGTCAGCTTTCCCTGTAGCCCACTTGCTGCACTGCTGGGGAGTATGTAGTGAAGGGAGGGTGGGATAAAAGGCAGGTCACTTACTGGGGCTCCCAACTCCCTGTCTCTGGGTTTTCTTTCAAAATTGATTTATACGGATTGCAGAGTTCTGTCAAGATGACTGAAAATTGAAGTAATGGAACACTTTTATTCCCTTTGAATTCCTCATGAAAAGGCAGAGAAAAGAGTCACTAAGAGTCACTAGTTACTGCTTCCTGTCTCTTTTGCTTTGTTTCAGCACATTTTGCTTTTTTTCCTTCTGGTATTTCAGGTGCTTTTTGTAGTATGATCTAAATCTCCACCATTAATGAGGATCACATGGAGTACTTTTATTCTTCCATGATTTTCCTTTTGTTACATACAGAACAGCACTGTGCACATACCTGTATGTATCAGAGAGCCAAGTAAATGGTATGTGCTTGTCTTCAGATGGAACTAACTGAAAAAAGGGGATTTGCTAAGAGATGGTCCAGCAGATGGCTCAGTCTTTCTAGTTCAGGATAATTGACTGCACTTCCATTAATTCCTCTCCAGAGTAGTGGGTTTTTCTGAGCTTTTGGACTTAAATGGCTGTAGCAGATTTTGAGTGGAAGGCAGATTTTCCCTCCCAAAGCTGTACCTGTGTTACACAGTGAGACTCAGACCATTATCCTCTTGGATCAGTATCCAGAGACTCATCAGATGCCTGCTGGATGGCAGATGGTACAGGTGTATTGCTTCTTGTCCAGGTTTTGCTTAGGTACACAAAAGGTAGCAATGTTTCATTTTATGTATCTCTAAAAAATTTCCATCTCTTAATGTTTCTTTTTCCTTGGCTAAAAAAATTTAAAAGGATGCTAAAAGAATTTCATGAAACCTCATCTGTTTTTTCTGTCAAGGAGGATACTTTTCTGTCAGTTGTGCCAGAGTGGTTTTAGTACTGTCAGGCCATCAGTTAGTTCTTTTGCTGATTCAGTGCAGAAGATAACTAAGATTTCTTTTTCTAATAAAAATTTTGTATGTTTGTTATAATTACTCAGTGTTTTGCATTATGACATCTTTTGTCAGAGAAAGAGAAAACAATCCACTTGCTAGTTAGTTTAACTTCCTAATGGTGTTAAACGTCAACATACTTCCTTCTAAGTCTTTCTATTATATATTCATGCATTATATATTCAGCATGAAACTGTGTGCTTTTTTGTACTCAGTGAGTTTCTCATTTTCAATATCTGTGTAAATTTAAATGCTGAATAAATACATAAAATGAATGTATAATGGCAATAAAGTGGACAGTGAAGTTGAAAGACCATAACATTTTGAGATGTACTGTTCATTGTACTTTGACAGTACTTCACATACTGCCACATAATTCATATACTTACTTCGAATACCAGCAAATGTATTTGTACAGAGATGTGTGTTTTTCATTTTATTCTAATCTCTATGTTCCTTTTTTTACTTTACAGACCTGACAAAAAGAAAGGGCAGAAAACTCGAAAGAGAATAAAAATGAGGATCTGTAAAAGATTAGCTATGAAACATGCCATATTCTCCAAGAGGAAAGTAAAGAATAAGAAAAAAAAGACATGACTTTTCTTGCTGCTACATAGTTCCTAATTTATTTTTTATTGTCAGCCTTTTGTTCCATTTTCTAAAAATATAAGTGCTAACATCCAGAATAAAACCTGATTGAATTAAGTGACAGTTCCTTTATTATACATCATTACTGGTACCAAAAAAAACCCTGCAACCCCAAAACAGCTCAGTGAACTACTACAGCCCTTACCATGTATTTGTATAATGTGATAATTTTGTATTTAGGATTAGCTGTTTGTCTGATTTGGTGGGTGTTGGATGTTGTGGGTCTTACTGCTGAGAGGTGAGGTACGGGCACATGCTCTGGTTTTATGTTGGTATTGGAGGGTGGGGCAAGGGAGGAAGTGAGGGTAGGTGATGGGAAGGCACGCGTTCTAGGAATTCGGTTTCTGTTAGTTACAACTGTGAAAAATACCAATCACTTATTTTTAAAATCTTAAAAGTTTAATAGTAATAAAATGGTTATATAAATGGTAATACAATTAGAGTAATAATAATTTGGACAATTTGGATTGGAACAACATGAGACAACAAAGAGTTATGGATGTCCAGGTACCTTTTTCTGGGCAGCATAAGCCTGAAAAAGGACACCTGTTAACAGAGGATTAACCCTTAAAAACAATAACCTGTTGCATATTCATACAGCTCATACCTGATGCATAAATTCCATTCAAACACAGGATTCTGTCTGGTCATCCTCAACTTCTTTCTCTGAATCCTAACGGCGTCATTCTGCCTGAGCGAGATGGGAAGAAGTTCGTTTCTCCTGATAATGGGGCAATAAATTCTCTTTCTCTGAAAGATTTAGGTGTCCTGTGGCTGCTATCTCAGTGCGAGTCCTTTCTTTAGGAAAAAAAAGTATCCTACATAGCATAGTTTCTATTTTAACATTTTGTTATAGACTTAGGAGAATTAATACAGCATTACTTCCTAACACAGCACATATAATATTCAATTTAATATTTGCGAAACGCCAATCATAAAATACGCATTTTTCACACAATCGTCTCACAGGGAGCCTTGTGAATTTAAAAAAATTTCTCTCCAAATGGAAAAGGGGCTTAAAAAAGAGTATTTAGTACTTAATAAGTGAGCGAAGCGTGAAGAGTCTGGCTCGGCGCTGCGGCGAGGCCCACCCCGCTGCCGGGCTCTCCACACGGCTCCCGGGGCCCGCCCCGCTCTCAGAATTCCCCGCACGGCTCCCGGGGCCCGCCCACTGCCGGGATCTCCCGCTCGGCTCCGGGGCCCGCCCGCTGCCGAGGCCCGCCCCGCTGCCGGGTTCTCCCCACGGCTCCCGAGCCCCGCCCCGCTCCTTGCCGCGGCGGGAAGCACCGCCCCCGGAAGCGGGAGCAGAGGCCCGGCGGGCCCCGCGGAGCCCCGCAGCCATGCCCGCCTTCAGGCAGGTGGGCGAGAAGCAGCTGCCGCAGGAGGTGGTGTTCATGTCCTGGTCCCCCAAAAGGGACCTCATCGCCCTGGCCAACCGGGCGGGGGAGGTGAGTGCGGGTGCCGGGTGAGGGGCACGGGAGGAGCGGGCGCTGCTCTCCCTGCAGGCCCAGGTGCCTTTGCCGTTACCTGGGGCATGTTTCTCGTGAGCCTGGCCAGGCATTTAAGGATAGCAGTTGTGTAAATCAAACGTCTTAATAATGCTCCTTCGTTTTTTGCATTGTGATTTCCGAACAAACTCACGTGTGACGTGCTCCTCGCTTGTGCATGGAAGTTCCTATTTAAGTTCAATCTAATTTTAAGTACTTTTTCCCCTGGAACTGCAGTATGTGATCGTGCATGAAGACAAGACTCGTGCTGTTGGCCTGTCCGCTAGAGAGCTGATGGGTAAACCCTGTTGGTTAGGGGCTTGTTTCCTTATGCAAGGCTCAGCTTATTTCTCTGTACTGCTGTGAACTGTGTGCTGCCCTCTATAAGACCATAGGAGGGAATAATCTGCTAGAGAAGCAGGTGGTGTTTAAAACACAGGAGTTAAAAACTGATAAAAAACTGTGCATCTTGAACTGATTTACAAACTTTTATTAACGTAAGAAGGTGGTTTAAGTTTGTCTTTAATGCATTTGCTTTGTAGGTTTTACTTCATCGGCTTGCAAACTTTCAACGTGTGTGGAGTTTGCCTCCAAATGAAAATACAGGAAAAGAAGTGACTGCTCTTGCTTGGAGACCAGATGGCAAAAGTAATGTCAAGTATATGAGATGATATGGTGCGATAAAACCCCATGGGAAATCATGAATGATGATGCCTGTGAAGGAAATTTTCAAGTAACTGTGTTTGAAGAGAAGGGTGGCTTAATTTTATGTAGGTTCATTCACAGCAATAGAGAGATTAACACTATTGAATCCAGTGGCAAGAAAGATTGTTAAGCCAGATATATGTGCCAAATGCTGCTTTTCGGAGTATAGCAAAATTTCAACCTCTTAAGTATGCAGGGCATTTTGTATGAACTACAAAGTTTGTTGGGAGAGAAAGAAGCTATCTGATCAGAATTGATTGAAGAGCTTAGCTTACTTAGCATAGGCAAAACTTCATAGGCTAAAATTACTCTAATTATAGACCAGAGAAGAAAAAAAAAGCCTTTTCCTTATTAATGGAAATAATGTTGAAATTAGTAGTTTAATAAACTTATGCCAGAAATCAGTTAATTTTTGCTTCACTGTAGATGGGAGAATGGGAACAATCTTCCTCTATGACATGTGGATAAAAACCTATGTTGTTTTATGATGGCATCTGAAGAGTTTAAGAAACTTTTTTAAGCTGATTACCTGTGATTATAAGGAAATAAATACAGAAACCTCTGCCTATTTGCTATTATGGATGAAGAAAGTTAAGTAAAAAGTGGTGCAAAAGTTGCTTGGCATCTCCTAATTTGTGTTTTTTGTCCACCAAGCCTTTCTGGTGGACGATGTTACCTATAATATTGGACTCAAGTTTGCAAAATTGGAAGCTTCTACTTTATCAGAACTATTGTTAGAAGTATTTGAAGCATGTTCAGTTCTAGGCTATTTATACATTTAACTTGTCTTTCTCTAGTTTTGGCTTTTGGCCTTGCTGATACCAAGCGGATTATTCTGTGTGATGTAGAAAAGCCTGAAAGCTTGCACTCCTTCTCTGTGGAGTTATCTATTACATACATGCATTGGATGGAAGTAACTGAGGAAAGCAGGTGAGTCTGAAAAGTAATAATCACAAGCCATGTAATGTCGCCTTACTGATAATTTATACGTGGAATGTTACAAGCAGTCATATAAAGTAATACAGTTTTCCACAGCTGTGGGGTTTTTTCACCACTTGGCTAAAATTTTCCTTTTTTTAGAATAGATCCTTTTCATATGCTTATTTTTAGTACTGATACCTTAGTCTTGTGGTTCTTTGGGTAATACATTAAATTTCAGCATAATCTTGTGCTTGTCCTTAAGAGCTGCTTAATTTAGTGTTGGCTTGTACAGCCTGTTTAAACTTTCTGTTTAAACTCCCTCCAAGCCTGTTGTACTGCAGGCTTGCAGAGAATTTAAACAGAAAGCCTCTGACAATAACTGATTTATATAACAGGCAATGGAGGATTTGGTGACAAGCCTCTGAGCCAGCAGATACAAACTTTATTCACTGGAAATAAAAAAAGATTTTCAGTTTTTTTATTAATTTGATCAGTTGATAATCTTTTATATGGCCTTTAATAATTTATCCTCTGACATTTGTAATTTTGATATATATAATGCATTGAATATGTGCTCTTAACTCTGGAGTTGAAAAGAAAGGCTCTTCTCATTTTTACAGCTTAGGTGATAAAGACAGTACCATGTCTTTTTCAGTGTTCTCACTTCCTTTTACAATGCTGAAGATGAATCAAACCTCCTTTTGCCTAAATTACCAGCTCTGCCAAAAAAGTAAGTGTTACTCTAGTAAGCTTGAGGAAATACCATTTGTCATTTATTGTCATTATTTTGGTTATTCATCTTCAACACTCTGCAGCTGTCTGATCATTGTTACTCAGAGTAATTATTTTTTTTTCAGTTACAGTACCACTGCAAAAATTTTCAGGTAAGAAAGTGTCATATTATAACTCACTGTATTTTAGTTTTGTTTTGTTTTCTGGTATTGGGACAAACTACATAAGCCCTAATCACGTGTTTTGTATTTTCAGTGAAGAAAAGTCAGATGAGATTATGAAGCTTCTGGGTGATGTCAGGTAAATTCTGGCTGTGGGTTGTTGGTTGAGGTTTTTTGTTTAGTTGCTTTTTTAAAGGGATAAAATAATGGATAATTGAGTTTACTGTTAAATTAAATCTGCATCTCTGTCTATCACCAGTTACTCCTTTTTGAAACTTGATAGCTCTTCTTACAGTAGGATTTCCTTGCTTGAGAGAGAGTGAGCTGTCTGTGATGTAGGAGCTTTGTGAATTCTCTCTGCTCCCTTCATCCACTCAATTAATCAAACCAAAAGTTTTTAAGATACTGTTTTCCTAAGTTCTGTGTTGGTTTTAATAGAAATATTCTGTGTCAATGTATATTTATTTAGAGATGTAACAGGCAGAAGTTGCAGTTAATTTGCTTGTATTTGTAGGCTTTTTCCCAAGCCAGTGTAGCACATTGGTGTTAGTAAGTGAGCAAAACATAGATCTGTCTGTCCCAGACTATTCTTTGAACTGAGTTTCTGTTTCTGGTGCTGTTGCTACTTCTGTGGCTGTTATTGCTGCTGCATCTTATTTGAAATGTTCATTGCCTTTGAGGTGCTGGGGATGCCACTGAGTGTGACAAGCTCACTCTGCATTAGAATCAGGGTAATTCAAGGTAGCTTTGTAATAATGCTTTGCAGCCTGCATTGGTAAGGGGAAGGTTCCTAGAAACTTGTTACTTTAAGTGAAAAAGGACTCTCTGACTAAACTGTGCTATTTTTCCCCTATTCTCTCAGTTAATGTAGTAATTAGTACTCTTAATATAAATGTTAGAGGCAGGTTTTATCAATAAAATCCAAGCTAATTTGTTAGTTTTTTAATTTCTTGAATCATGGACAGTAAAACAATGTTTCCTTTTGTGCAGGAATAGAATTTAAGTATTAATAATGTGTGTGTTCAAAATCTTTTCAGTATGCTTATCAACACATTCTTCTGTTTTTATAGACTTAATGCTCTTGTCCTTGGTGGCAGCTCAGGATTTATTGAGATATATGCTTATGGAATGTTCAAGATTGCTACAGTAAATGGGGTATGTTTGGTCCCTTCCCACATTTTTTCTTCGTAATATGCCAAACTACAGCTGAATTGAGTGAAAATATACATATGCTTACACATAAGTGAGACTGGGCTGCTGAATTTAAAAAACTAATTCATTGAATTGTTGGTTATTGATGGAAAGACCTTGTAACTGGGAAATTTAACTCTTGTTTCAAAATTCGCTGTTAATACACGATAAAAAGAGTGGGTTTGCTCCTGAGCAGTAGCTGAAAATTGCGCTTCATTTTTACCTGCCATTAAACACAGTCATCTTTGTATGTCAGTGTGTTAGAGCAGTAAATATTCTTAGAGGAAATGAAATGTTTTATTAACTTGTAAACTGGAATTCTTCAGGTGGCAGGTTCTTGTCGTGGACTGTGTTTGTCTAGTGATTTGAAATCACTGTCAGTTATTACAGAGCTACAGAACTCTCCAGACAGCAAAGCAGAGATAATGTATTTTCAGGTAAGTAAACAAATTTAAAAACATGTTTAAAAGGAAAACTGGTTTTTAAATTACATTCTGGTAGCTTTATTGCTTTCCCATGATAACAAAAACTACCAGTTCCAGCCATTCTGAAATTAGCTCCAGTTTAGCTTTTGAATTTGTGATGTCAACATACAGTTTCACTGATGACACTGACAATGGTGATCTGAGCCATTCTTGCAAAATACTTCTTTTAGAATAATGTGAATTTATTCAACTACAGTGACAATTATTCCGATTTTCTCCATTCTGCACACAAGGGGCATAACAGCAATGCTTGTGATTATCCTCTTTCCAGAATAGTCATCTTGAAAATTATTACTGTTAGAGCCCCAAAATGTGGAACCTTATCAGTGATTTTTATAGATGTGTTAAAAATAGTTATTGCTTCTTTGAATTAAACGTATTTTCCTTTTAAAATCAACCTTAAAGTGTTGAGAATGAAGAGATTTTCTGTGGGTCCTTCCAATCTGTCTTTTAATTTCTGTAATCTATGTATTGTTAAAAGACAAGTCATCTGTTGCTTTTTCCATTTGTTGTAGTTGGACACTAGTCTGTTATCAAGTTACTTACCTGAGGTAACTCGAATGGCCCGGAAGTTTACTCACATTTCCACTCTGTTACAGGTACAGTTTTGTTACTCCATCCTTTTAGTCTTGTGGTTCTGTAGGCTTTGACATTCTAATGCAAGTGAAATAAATGTTTTCTTGTAAGAAGCTTGAGTTGGTTTTAAGTAAATGTAGAGCTCCAACTTGGAATTTGCTAATAAATTTTATATAAGATCTACTGTGTATTTCCTTTCTGTTGTAACATCCATTTGCTGAATGTGTTGTTGAAAGGGAGAAAGGAAATAATACTGATGCCAGTTTCTGTATTACAGTATATAAAGCTGTCATTGACATGCATGTGTGAAGCATGGGAAGAAATACTGATGCAGATGGACTCACGACTAACAAAGTTTGTACAGGTACTGCAGGATTAACCATCCTTTTGGAAAAACACTTTTGGCAGTAGTTCTGTTGTTCTTGTTAGTCTATTGCATATCTTAATGTTTAAGCATGATGCCTCCAGATAAGAGTCCCTAAGTTCAGAGACAGCCTGGAAGCTATTGGTGTCAAGTGCTCTGATGCTGAAGGCACCTGTGTGCAATCAAGCATAATTGTATTGTGATACTTTTATTTATTCTGAATGTTTTAAAAATCATCCTTTTCAGCTTGTCCAGCTATTGATCAGTTGCTTTCTGCTTAAGGCCGTGCTCTTTGTACTTAGGTCATTGATAAACTGATCACTGTAAATATTCAGTAACACTTTACAGCCTAGTTCAATAGAGCACATGTAATATCTGTGTTTACGATGCCATTGAATTTGCTTAAATTTTGTGTTCATTGAGCATGGTCAGAAGTTAGTGAATCTTGTAATTTGCTTATTTTTTAGAATTGATTCTTGGTGGCACTCTACTTAGAATTTTTATTGGGCAATGCAGTTGGAAATAACTTGAAATACTAGAGAAATTTCAGTGATCGGAAAATTTTCAGTGATCGGTAGTGATCAGTAGTGATTTCAACATTCAAAGAACTGGGTGGCTTCTTTGAAATACTTTATATGGAGTGTTTGTGAGATAATTTGGCAGGCTGGATTTAATCTCTTCACCAATCTATTTCAATCATTTTGACTGACAGGAAAAGAATACAACCACTTCTGTTCAGGATGAGTTTATGCAGCTGTTGTTATGGGGCAAAGCAAGGTAGTTACTGTTGTTTTATCTGAGTATGCCTTTGCACTTGATGTTGAAACACAAAATGAAATGCCTATTTGGTTCTCTCCCTACCTCCTTCAGTCTGGAACTTCAGGCATTACTAATGAACCAACTGACAGTAAAGGTATGTTAACATTTTTTTAAACATACTAAATTAATCTATTTCAATATCTTTTAATCATTTTTATATTAACAGATTATTATTGTATTTCTTTGTTAACAGGGTTTAAAAAAACTTGGTCAGTCTATAGAGTCTTCCTATTCTAGTATACAAAAGTTGGTTATAAGTCATTTGCAGAGGTAAGTCCCAGAATTTCCAATGAATTTTAGATTAAATGGCATATTATGTGCTTTGATAAATGACAATAAGCTGTCTTGGTGGTGCTTTCTATGTAGGTGGGCTGGTATGGAAACTGTGATCATGGCAAAACATTTTACTTTTGTGTAGTAGAGAACCAGTGAAGTATTTTGAACAATCTTTATGGTACATCACCTGTAAATTGCTGCCTGGTGTGTTTAATAGGATCTATGCAAAATATTCACACTGACTTTGTGTCATTGAGACAATATCTGCCTTTCTCTGAAGTGATACCATGCCTCTTGTTCATGGCAGACTGCCTTATAAGGCTTTGCACTTTGTGCATTAAATAATATAAATGTAGCATGCAGCACAGCACTGAATTTCCAGAGTGTGAATAAAAAGTTATGCCTCTTTCCTCTGCTTTCCTAGTGGCTCTGAGGCACTTTTATACCACTTGAGTGAATTGAAAGGAATGGCTTTATGGAAACAAAAATATGAGTCTCTGGGATTGGATGCATCTGGAATTGATGGTACAGTAGTGTGTGTGCTACCTCTGTGCTCTGATTTCACTTTTGAAAGCTTAATAATAATGGTTAGCTTTTTTTTTTTTTTCAGAGGCTATTACTGCTGTTGGTTCTTTCATCCTGAAGGCAAATGAGCTGCTTCAGTAAGTATAAAGTCTGGAGAGTTTAAAAAGCATTCCTATTCAGTCTTGTATTGGAGGAAATGGATGGGCTGGGAATAGAGGAGGTTGGGAGAGCAAGACTCCTCTGTTGGTGGGGAGCTTTCATCTTGTCTCCCTGCATGTCAGACTCATTCCACAAGAATAGTCTTACTTGAAACATTGCATTGGCCATTTTGAAAAAAACTGACAGAGCTTGCAGGCCTTTCTGTGGTAAAGATGGGACTTAAGCATGAAACACCTTGTGACAGTCAGATTTTGTAATTTCTTGTTTCTTGTTTAGAGTGATCGACAGTAGTATGAAAAACTTCAAGGCATTTTTCCGATGGCTCTATGTTGGTAAGATTGGTCACACAGTCATCATCAAGTATCTGGTTTATATTGTAAGCATTGAAATGCAGACAAGTTACTAGGCCAATCTTAATTATAACCATCTATTTTTTTCTGTCACAGAAAATTTCTGGACATATAAAGGGATATAGTTGATGAGGCAAGAGTAATTATAATATTAAACACAGATTATAAATTTGGCAGTTCTCAATTAAATTTAGTATGTGCAGAGTGAGTATTGCATATACTTGATCTGTAATACTGCTCCAAACTGTTTTCTGCTTCATGAGCAATTTGCTGGTCTTGATTTGGAGAAAAAGAAAGGACTTTTTTTAGGCTACACAAAATTTTAAATGTAACCTTCTTTTTTTTTACTCTGTTACTTGCTGTTTTCTCCTGTGAAAGCCTGGTTACTTGTAAGATTCTGCACAGATGTAAACAGTCTCTGAATGTCCACTTGCACTTAGTAGCCACCTTCATGTGTCTGGGTAGCTGCAGAGAAAATGTTAGAAGGAAGTGAAGCACGCTGTATTTTAGCCTGCCTGTTTTTATTCCTGTTTATAAATAGGTTTATAACTTCTATTTGATCTTTTTAGAACTACCTTACAAAAATTAAGTGTTATTACCAGATATTATAGAAGTACCAGCTATGCAGTGTTAGCACTTACTAGCAGGAATATAATAGTTCTAATTTAAAAATTACAGAAAGCAGGACTACCTAAATTCTCTGTCATAATGTTATGTTCATTGTTTGTTTCATTTCAGACTAAACAGAGAACTTTATCCAAGCCTTGCAGAATTGAAATTAATCCTGTGCCATTCTCTTAAAACACATTTTTCTGAGCATGACAGTTTTCAAGTATTTTACATATATCTATTTTAGTACTCTGAGTATGGACATGAACAAATTCTTATGAGCTCTTCATAATAATTTTGTTTCAGTCTCATACAGAGTAGAATGCAGTTGGAGAAGATTAAAGATAAAAATTCTTGAAGATTTGTAATGCAAGCTTTGTAATATAAGCTAGTGAGACTAGAGAGACTGAATTTCAGTCTCGACTTGTAATTCTTCACCCCAGGCTCTTTTGTTTCTAATGAATTAATCTTTTTTAACAGCAATGTCTTATTACATACATGTGAAAAATAAAGGATATTAGGAAAACAGTATTAATGAAATAAGAATATAATTTTTCCCTCAGCCATGTTGAGGATGTCAGAAGATCATGTGCTTCCAGAGCTGAACAAGGTAATAGTAACATTTTCTGATAAATGGTGATATCCTCGATATTCTGCTCATCTCAAAAGCAGAATTAAAAGTTCCTTTTTGTTCCAAAACTTAAATGGTAGTGTCTGTGTCATTTTTTTGAGAAAGTTGATGCCTGTGCATTGACACTAATGTGCTGTTGTGCTTGAATTACTTTTTCTGTTTTCTTTGCTAACACTGCTGTATTTAGTATGCTGGGTATGCAAGGCCTCTGTATGGCAGCTCTTTATGCACCCTAAATGCTGAAGTCAACCAGAGTGAGATCTTAGTATCTTTATCAGTGTCCCCATAGAGGAGAGGGAATATATAACGAAACAGTAATATAATAATACAGTAACACCTGCATCGAATTTGCAGCCACCATCACACTGCCCTCACTTGAGGGCAGAGGTGCCTTCCAGAGGTAGATAGGCTGGAGCAATGGGCAGGCAGGGACTCCCTGCAGTTCATGAAAGACAAACTGCAAGGTTCTGTTGTGGGGTGGGTTAACCCCTTGTGAGTGCACTGCTGGAGCCCATGTGGCTGGGAAGATGTCAGCTCTGCCAGAATGATGTGGGAATCACTGGGTGCATGCTGGCAAAGGTGGGCAGGGGTGACCAGGGCTGTAGTAATGAGAGCATGGCCAGGAGGTCAGGAGAAGCACTTATTGTCCTAATTTAGCACTTGTTGGTTGGTCTCATCTCCAGTTTGGGACCATCCTGTACAAGACAAGAATGGTCTGGGATGAGTTCAGCAGAGCACTCCCAAGTGGGTTGGAGACTGGAACATTTGCCCTGTGAGCACAGGCTGAGGGAGCTGTGCTTGTGCAGCCTACAGATTGTGTATTCTGTGCTCATTGAAATGTGTTTCTTACCCTTTGCTTTTCTCACTGTTTTTTTCCCTTTTAGATGACTCAAAAAGATATCACATTTGTGGCTGATTTTCTTACTGAGCACTTCAATGAGGTCAGTGATACTCATCTTCCAAATACATGATTTGACTGTATTTTTGCTGACAATAGCTGAGTCTGAAAAATCTTAGAATAAAATAATTTGGTCATCTTTTTGTTCACTACTTCTCATTACTTTTATGTTTAAATAATGGGTTTGTTTGCATTATTTTTTTAGGCACCAGAACTTTACAATCGTAAAGGAAAATACTTCAATGTGGAGAGAGTTGGCCAGGTAAAGAACTAAGGAACAAATGCAAAAAGAATAAATGAGAAAATCCTTAGATAGAGAAGATTTTAAAGTTGTGTCCACTTTGCTTCCCTGGCCTTTTTGCTCTGTGTTGCACATACCAGTAATGGTAAAAAAGAGTAAATTGTTTCACCTTATTATTAGGAAAATGACGGTTTAAAATGTTGTTGTTTCACTTTACACATGCAGTATTTTTAGGAAAAGACAAAAATATTTTGCAGCAGTAGTAAAACGCTAAATGCCAACTTCAGTAAAACTGATATGTTGGTTATCTGTATGGCATTAATCACTGCATTTCAAAACATTTGTGTTCAGACTTCATCTAAAAATGAGTTTCTTAGGGAAATATCACCATGGGATCTTAAACAATAGTTGATTTTTCTTGTTTCTAGATGGGGTGGAATATTTAATTTTAAGACTATGGCAAGTTAATTTACCAAGAAATTTTTAATATACTCACTAGGGGCAATAGTGAAGGTGGAATTCCAATGTTCCCTATTCTTAAATTACAGTCTTAAAACTGTGTTTCTTTTTTAGTACTTGAAAGATGAAGATGATGACCTTGTCTCACCACCTAATACAGAGGGAAACCAGTGGTTTAACTTTCTTAAAGATAGTACTCATCTTAAAGGTAATGTGTCTTCATGAAAAAGTGAAAATGTGAAAGTGAAGTGAAGGCAAGATATATGCAGAATGTAACCAATGTAGAAGAATTATCTTTTTTCATGCTTGTGAGTTACTTCTGTGATGTTACTCATTGGTCTTCATCTGAGTGGAATAAAATAAATGGGCCTTGCACAGCGTTTATATAGCTGCTTACTGAGTCAATTACCATTTTCTGGATATTGGGAGTTCCTCATCTTTTCTGTACCAGTCTCAAAAGTGTTGACTTGGAAGGAATCCCAGAAGAGGTCTATTTTAGGATATCTTAATTCAAGAGAGTAAAAGTTATGCTTAGATTGTACCTGAGGGAAGTGTCCTAACTTGTTCTCTTTCACTGGAGTCTGAGACTATTTTGTTAATTAGTGGTGAAAAGGAAGTAAGAGACTATAATGAGCAGATGGTAACAATTATTTTAGTTTAAGTTTAGAAACCAAGGACTGTAAAACCTTGACAGCAAAAGCTGCATATAATAGAATTTGCTACAGTTGCCTTTTTCCGCCTATTTAATTTGATAAAAAGGGGGGAAATGGTAGCATTTTTGTTTGAAAAATAGTCTTTAGAAAATCTGGTTTTAGAGGTAATAATGGTGTAATATGTTTCTATAGAGATACAAGCATTTTTAAAATTAACTTTGTCTGTTTACAGAAAGCCCACTTCTGTTTCCCTACTATCCTGAGAAATCATTGCATTTTGTCAAAAGGCAAATGGAAGGGGTCATTGATCTGTGTTTACAAAAGCCAGCAGTAAGTTCTGTTTTTACAAATGATAACTTTCCTTTAGGGATAGTGGTCAACTGAAGGAAGCAGTCATGCTTAGCAAGGCCTGAAGCTTTAATCTTTGCCTTTGAGTGCCTGTAACTTGGGTAGAGTCCAGCTTCACTGCTGGGATATCTCAAGCCTTTGGCCAGGGAAAGTACAGTGGGGGATTTTTTAATTTGTCATATTCTCTTCACACAATTTTAGGATCTGGTTTTAATGTTAATTATATGTGTGTGTGTGCTGTGTACCAGATAACTGCATTAGTTGGCAATACATTAATCTAGTATGGAGAAACATGAAACAAATGTATGAAATGAAAGTAGTGTTTGCATTAGGGATGTTTATTTCAGGATAGATATTGGTGGAGTTTTCTTTCAGATGTACTCAGAGGTTGTTGGTAGGTTGGTTGGTTTTTTTACTTAAAAACATGTATAATTATGAATAACTGCCTGTATTTTATGGACTATTTTTATTCTGTTTATTAGGATGTAATTGGAAAGTCAGTGCATCAAGCAGTTTGCATATCTCTCTACAAAGTTTCTCAAAGGTATTTCTTTACTAAAAGCAGCTAAAGAAATGTGCAACTAAAACTTGTGCATGAGTAGCATTTCATAAACTGTTTTGGTCTTTCATTTGCAGTGAAGATTCCACACCTCAGTTATTTAAGTTACCATTTCTGTAAGTATGTTGCTATTCCTTGTTCCTATTCTTGTTCCTTGTAGTTTACGGGTTATTAAAACTTGATCCAAATTTTAATTTCTTCTCCCACATTGCAGGTGGAATGACAAAACATCTAACTTACATTATGTTCTCTTCACCATGTTAGAAAATTCTATTTCTAAAATACACATTTTGAGGAGACATACTGATACTTCCAGGTAAGACAAAAAGGGGGAAAAAGTGGTGTGTGAGTTTTGCCACATTTGTACAGAAACATTTACAATTTAAATCTATTTGTAAAAATAAGGAATGAGCACCATGAATACAATTTCTCTTGAATACTAGAGAAAATGAGGAGTACATTAAGTGTAGCAGGAAACTGCAGCAGAAGTTTTTGTTGCCTTAGACTCAGAAAATCTCATCTCAAGACCCAAGATGGTTCTGGGATAAGAAAAAATTGAGATTCCATTGGATTGCTGCTAACAGAATTACTTATTTGTGCAAACTTCTGAAATATTACAAAGAATCCTCCTTCCTCTGTTGCTTTGTCTTGCTGTAAATAGTAATTTTGATTAATATCTTGGGGTCTGTAATTTAATGATGGCTTTCTCTTCTCTGCATAAGCCAGATGTAGTTTTCCATTTGAGTCCATTAGTTATGTTTTTCTGAGGATCAGAGGAATTTAAAAGGTTCCCGTCCACCAATCACATAATTTTGGCATGTAGCCATGTATTGTGCTGAGCTTAGATAGCTTTTTCACCATCTTGTACCACAGTTGCCATTAGAGATTTTGGATTCTCAGTGAAGGGAAAGGTTTTTGTCACTGAGACAATTAACTCTGTTGTTCTAGGTCTGTCAGTAATGGGATTCTTGCAGTAGAGTTTGGAAACTTCTTGAACAACAGTATAAATGAGAGCTCAGACTCCAGGTCAGTATATTTGATTTTTCTTGCAGATTGCTGAATAAAAAAAATCATATTTCCTGTTGGTTTTCTTGCATTGTTACCTTTGAAGTTAACTCACCTGGGTGAATCAGGGTGTAAGAAATGGCACAGGTGCATGAAGCTGTGGAATAGTGCAAATCTTACATCACACTTCATCTCAAGGTCAAGTAAATTTTAGTTTTCCAGTTGAAAACTAAAGCTTTAACACATGTGTAAGAAACAAATCTAGCTGGAAACAAGTATTGTTTATCTGTGTGATGTTCTTTAAGTAAGATAAGACTTGGTATGGCTGAATGTAGCCACCTTACAAGGCATTTGATAGAGTAAACTCATCCTTTTCATGTAGAAAAGCCAGATGTGATTTGCCCTCAGAAGCTTCAGCTGTATTTCTAAATTTTCTTTGGTATTTATGTTTGCTGTTTCTTCTGTTTCATCTGAAATATGAAGGTTACTAGTAAGAGTTTTTTGTGAGCTACTTTATTTTCCCCTTCAGAATAATTTTTTCCTGCATGAGGCAGGAGTCTGCCAGGTTGTGGCTATCATTCAGTTATAGCTGCACAATTCACCTCCTCTATTATTTTATTATTATTTACAATGAAGTTTGTTGTTAAGTACTGAATACTTGTTAACATGAGTGCTGATTAACATCTATTTTATTTCTGCATTCTCTTATATTACTTGATGCTTTCTAAATTATTTTCCTGTAGATGCTATAGTTGTTTGGATGCTCACTTCTATGATGATGAAACTGTAACTGTAGTTCTGAAAGAGAGTGTGCAACAAGAGGGGAAGGAGAGAGTCTTGGCTCAGCTGCCTTTATCTTCAGTATATACAGATGAGGACCAAGATGGGAAATCCATTTGGGATTCTATGGAAAGGTATTGAAAAACCTTGAGCAAATCTGAAAATGTAGAACTGAAAAGCAAATTAAGCAAATATTGTGATTGTGTACAGTTACTCATACTTTGTGTGTGTGTAAATATTTTGAAGATAGAAACTCTTTTTGTGCCAGGAGAGTAGGATGAGGGAGATGGAAGCTTCCTAAATAGTTTGTTTTGTGGTTTTTGGGAGGGTAGTTTTCAGTTTTTTCATACTGATACTACTGCTGTACCTGCCTGTCATGAAATGGAAGGATCAGCTGAAGACACCTTGCAGAATCAGAAATCTTCCTTAGAAGATGCTGACTTTGCTAGTCAGAATACTTCAGTTGAGGATGTTTTCAGCATATGTGCTCGTACCTCTGCCTTGTAATAAGAGTACACAAGTATTTCTTGATTCTTCCCTGATAGCCACCCTTACAAATATTGTCAGCTTGACCTTAAAACATCAGAACTGGTACTGCTGTCTGCATTGGCATAGGTAGAGGTGAAAGTGAACACACACACAAAGGCCAATGAAATTCAATTTGTGAATCCAAACCTTTAGTTGCTGTGTGTTCCTTGCTTTTACTTTTCTCCCATTCTTCTCTGGTAATTTGCTTATGATGCATTTTTATTTCAAAATAAGGAGACACACTGAACTGTAAATAAACTTTTTATGCCACAAAGATATTGTATATTGAAGAGTGAACAGAAAATATTAAGAGCAAGTTCAAACTAATCTTGGCTGCTGTAATAGGTAGGGAGTGTCTTCATACAGTGCCTGTGAGTGGGGTAATGATGCATATTTGAAAGGCCATGGAGGCCAAACTTCTGTGTAAGGGAGGCACTGCATCCAGGACTGTGTTTGAAACTCCTCTTTGTGCAGAGGAGAGGTTTGAAAAGAGCCACCCACATCCTGCTACAGCTGTTTCTTGTGGGAAGGTCAGACTTTACAACTCCCTTCTCACCTGCTGTAATGTTTTTAACTCGGTGGGAACGTGCTGTGTCTCTGCAGTTGGATCTCCTGCTCTAGAGTATCATGGTGGCATTATGATGGTTTCAGAGACTTATCTGCTTGTTGCATCTGATGAAATTTGGACACATGAAACTGGAGGTATTTTCTTAGAAGTGCAGTTGTTTCTTGTGAAGCAGCTTTGTGCTTTTTTCCTTGCTGTGCAGGCTGGATGAGCGAAGCAGTGAGATACCCACACGCACTGTCTTCTTGGAGAGTCAGTGGAGGGTGCTGGAGAACATGAAAGCTCAGTATGTTTCTGTAAATGGCATTAGGAAAGTTTCTTGTGTGGTAAGTGCAGTATCTCTGAAAAAACCTGTCTATTAAAGGAAGTGTGCTGACTGAAGTGGTAACCTAAAAGTTACCAATTTCTTTTTTTAACAAATAGATTATTTTTTCATAATCTGTTATTAGTGTGTCAGGATACAGTCATACCATAGTAGCACAGGATGGAAAAACTTTAACAGAAGGTAATAGATCTGCTTGCTTTACTTCTCAGCCTATAGAGCAATAAAATGTGCTAATTCCCTTGAAACCTCCATTTCAAAGATAAAGGTTATTTTCAAAGCTGACAAAGTGCTGGTGGTGTTTTTATTTATTTGGTCATTAACAGGAGCTTCTCACTGTCTCTGTAGCTGAGTTCAAACCTCCGCCACATCAGGGTGTTTGAGATGGACGTAGAGGATGATGGGGAAGTTGAGGAGGAAGAGGAAGAAGAAACAACTCAGATTGCAGCTGGAGAACCTGATGAGCCAAATCAGCCTGCAGATGGCCAGGACAATGTGTGTGATGCATCTGCTGAGGAACTACCTGATGAAGCTGAAAAACATGAGACAAGTCTGGATCCTTGAAATGGGCTTTGGTAATAGAGAGGAGACAGGACTGAACTGTAAATACTTTGTTTAATGGCACAAAGAAATTGTGTGTATTGAGGAATGAACACAAAATACCCAAAACAAGTTCAAACTCATCCTGGCTGCTCCAGTAAGCAGGGACACCATCAGTACTGTCCCTGGGACTGGCAGTGATGTGGAGTGATACATTTGAAAGGTCATCTAACTAGTTAGAAAGTGATCTGACTTCAGGCTGCCGAGATGATGGATCCCATACCTCCTCAAACAGCTGAATCAAGCTGGAATTCTGTATTGCTTCTCAGCTAAGATTGTGTTCTAGGGTACATCTATTGACTCTTTTCTGTCTGGCACACGGTTTGGTGCCAGCTAAAGCTTTGAAAGCTTTTCTATTTGCCAGTTTTAAAAGGTGAAGAGAAAAAGAAATACCAGCTGAAGTTTTTGTAGCTGTTCAGTCCTGGATACTGTTATAAAGATAAAATAAAGTTATATATAAAACCAACAAAACTTGGGGCCTAATTTTTTGCTTCTCAGACTTTGTAATGGGTTTGAAAGTTTCCTGTAGAACCAAAATGTAAAATTGCAAGTCAGTGTAGGGCTAGTTACACACCAAAATTTAGCAACTGTTAATGAAATGCATAGTTTTAAAAGCTCTTTGGATAACATCTGTCCTTGGTAACACAGCATTTCAATCTATGCAGTTCTTTAGTCCTCAGTGCAATGTGTGTGTGCAGTGCATGATTTGTCAAATGTTTGCATGTCTCAGCCTGCCTAGTTTCTTGAATTTGTTCCTGAAAGCCTGTTTTTCCAATCTGGAATTTTTGTAATGAAAAATTTTACCAGAGAATATATTTTTTATTCTCATTCAGCACTGGGAGTTGTGCATAGCTCTCAGCATAATCATGTTACTTGCAGTTTATATATTACTGTAGGCATGATGTAGTGGTAAGCAGTAGAAACTACAAACAGCATTTAGAAATCTAAAATGTTTTCTTCATCCGTTCTAGCTGCCATTCTGAACTGACTTAAAACTCAGCTCTTTGAATGAGCAATGCTGCTTAATGCATGATCTTCCTTTGAGCAGTGAGTGCACCTTGTATTTGTGAGGAGGACCAAGTTTCCATTATGTGCTTTAAAAATAAATCTTGAAATTGCTATTTGGCATTGCAAAATTCAAATACTAACCTTATTTTACCCTCTTATTTTGAAATGTACTATTTTTAAGTAACTTTTCAAAAGTGGACTTCTGAAAGTTTTGATCTCTTTAGGGGAGACCCTGGTAAAACAAGCTTTCAGTTTTAAAAGAGACTAAGTTTTTCCCTTTCCTAACAACCTCCTTGAAAGCTGCTTGCTGTTCATCATTCTCATCCAACAGGTGGTCAAGTTTCAGGGCCCAGTGAAGCTGTAGGACAGGAGGGGCAGAAATGCCCATCCAGAAGTGCTGTGATTTTCTGTGTAGAGCAGGCAACTCTTACTAAAAATTTGTTGTTGCAACAGAACCCACTTAGCTTAAACCTGGCCTTGTGTTCTTTCAGGGAACTTTTGCTTCTGATCTGATTTAGAGTTGTCACATCAAGGGCTTAGAAGTAATTGTTCTGCTGTGTTTTGTGCTATATAATTTTAGTCCATGTGCATATGGAAATCTGATCTCTCCTGCCCCAGTAGTTCCTAAATTTGTGTTAGTAGCAGATGTGTTCCATGTCACAAGGGCCTGTCTTTCAGACATCTCCTAAGGTTATTCTGTGCACCTTTCTAGTCCAGTCTTGGATAAACTTGAGTCAGTGGGAGCTTTGTGGCTGCCTTGGGTAAGTCCATGTGCACATTGTGCATTTCTCAGTGACACAGTACAGACACACCAGTGGTCGGTGCTGCTGAATGCATTGCTGATTCTTTCTGACAAGCTTTTTAAAAAATTTGATTTGCTGATAGATTTTTGTAATAATAAATATGTCAGCAATGTGTTTATGCAACTGTTTTCCACAGGGTGTTAAGATGCATTTGATCTAGAAGTATTTTAGGATTTTGGTGGTGTATGAGTGTGGTGGTTTCTCATTTACCATTTTGATCTCTTATCTCTTATGCTAACTGAAGGCTCAGTCAACCTTTTTCTGTGGGGAGTTGTAATTTACTGATAGTTTTGTGGACAAAAAAATCTCTGTATTCTCAGCAAGCATGCACGCAATCCACTCTGTAATACAAATCTTTGTGTCTCTTAAGGAGCATTTACTGCTGCCTCTTTTTTAATATCTGTTTTGCATTTGGTATTACTATTTTTTTTTAAAGATCTTGCCACAACTTTTATTTGCTGATCTTTATTCCCTTTTCCAGACCTTTTGCTCATGTCTATTCTGCCTGATCTCTTCAAAGTTAGTTCCATTGCCAAGTGTGCACTTTGGTCTCTCACCAGCTGGTGCTGTTTTGCTCCACAGCCTGGACATGCTGTGATACCATGGCCTCCCACTTACATGGAGTTTGTGGCACATTTGCAGCTTCCTGCATAAGCAGCCCCTTGAGCTGCTCAGAAAGACAGCAGATGGCTGTAGAGCAATAATGAACAAAAGCTTGCTTTATTACAGGTTCATGTTTGCAGAAGGGACAAGGGATGTGTAGCTTTACAAAATCTATAGCTGGTCCTCATGCTCCTTGACTTTGAAAAACAACTTACCTAAAAAATGCCTTAGATCCCATTTGTAAACCTTGACAAAATGGGAAATCCATCTCTGTAAGCATTGAAATTCCTTAGTATGTGGGCTGTATTAAATATCTGTAGTCAGAATTGGTTCATGTGTCTTGTTAACTACTGCAGCAGTAACATCTGAGATCTCTCATGCTACCTGGAGCTAGCTGTGGCTCTTGGAGTTGGGGCTATAATTATAATCTCAATTTCTTGCTTCACAAGCTCTTTTAGGGGAAGAGCTGCCTGAATTTACAGTTTGCTATGTTGCTGTTGTTGATTATGTAAGAAACAAGGCAAAGAGATAGAGCCAGTGCCTTTTAAAGTTTGAAAGGATGGACCCAGTAATAAGAACTCTCTTATTAAGAGTATTAAGGTGGAGAGAAGGAACTGGATGCAAATATTTTTAGCAGTGTATCTGATGCCTTCTCTCAGGGGCTGTTCATGACCTAGTTGGATGGTACCCTGAGCAACCTCATTTAGGGAGTGGCATCTCTGCCCATGGCAGGGGTGTTGGAGCTAAATGATCCTTAAAGCCCCTTCCAACCCAGACCACTGGATGATTCTGTGATTCTGGAAGACTCAAAATACCAGTCCAGGGTTTAGGGTCATGTTGATTTATCTGTGGTCTCTATTAAGGATTTTTATGCTTAATTTAAATTGAGGGATCTGATGGCTTGCTCAGGAGCAAGAGCAAACCCACTGAGAGTGGGTTTGGCTTGAAATTGCAAACCAGAAAGAAATTGTAGCCAGAAGAGAATGAAGAGACATTGTGTCCCCACTTTCCTGTCTCTTCAGTGCATTTTATCTTTGTAGATTACTGATATTTCCTTGACCTGAACCATGATTGCTCAGTACTGAGTGAAGGAGCAGCCTTATCTGTCATGTTGAGTATATTGACATTAGATGGGCACAATCTCATCTCTAGCCAAAGTCCTGTGCCACCCAGCCCTTAACCCAGCAAAGGGGTTAGCCTTTGGTTCTAAAGTCCTGCTGGAAGGAGTTCCCTCAGGAAGGGAGACTGCTTCCCTCCTTTCCTTCATCCTAGCTAAAAACTGAGCTACTGATAAAAGCAGCTTGGAAGATGTCAGTAAACATGCTCATCTGATTCTCTTCATAGCATTAACAGGAGAAATATGCATGTCTTTACAGCCAAAGAGGAGTGGTAAACAAAATCAAGAAAAATGTTTACAATTTGTTGAAATGAAGTGCATCAGCAGAAGTGCCAATTACAGATTTTGAAGAACAAATCCAGCAGGAACTCTTAATTGCAAAGGCTGTCTCTTAAAGTGAAGCTTTGTCAAAATCTCTGTAGCCGTGTTTGAATTGAGCTGCCTCGAAGAGAACCAAGGCAGAACTTCACAGCAAGTGTATCCCTGCTAATTATAGGTGCAGGGAGGGGAGGGTGTTCCAAAAAAAGTAAAATTTACACTTTCCATTTTTCCTCAGTGTTTATTGACTGTGTTTTTCTTTTCCTGTGTCACAGCTAGAGACTTTCAGATTTAAGGTCTTGTAATAGACCCAAACTTTCCTTTCAGTTTCTCAGCTTGCATTAGAGATTGCATTGGTTTTTTTTTCCATAATGTCTCTCAGATGTGCTAACATGCATGAACTCATGGCAACAGCACATGCAGCACAGCTGTTGCTGTGTTGAGTTTGTAGTTCTGGGTTGAATTTGACTTCCTAGGTTGGGATTGTCCAGTCCTTGGTGAGCCACTTTCAGTAGAACACTGAAACAACCAGCAGCACTAATTCAGTTTGTTGTGGCTGCCTCTCCTTTCTACTGCACAAAGTGTATACAGGGAGTATTGCAGAGGGGGAGAATGGTTCTGAGTGCAGTCAGATCTGGCTGGAAGTGACATTGCTGGCTTGCCAAGTCATATTCAAGTTGAGCAAGGTGAAGTCTGTTTTAATTGAACAGCATCCTTCCATGTTTCTCCTGTTCATCTGTTGCTCTGGTTCCTGGGTGGGTCTTTGCTGTGTCTTGGGGTGGAGAGCTGTGCTCTGCCCTGCAGCTCCAAAGCTGTGCTAGTGACAGGCTGAACTCACAAGGGAGCTCCTGGATCCTCAGGCTACTTCTGAGTGTAATTTGTTCAAGTGAAAAGCTGCAGGTGACTTAGTGAACAACGTAGCCCACCTACACCCATCTGCAAATGCTTTTAACAGAAACCTGTCTCCAGTGTTCCCAATTCTCACTCAGGCTGGGATCCTTCAACAGCATGAGACTGGACTGGACTCTGTGCACACTTTGTACCTTGGGGAGATAACCAAAGTTTATATAAAGTGACAATATTTTGAAACAAGCTCTTGAGTTTACATCAGAAAAAGGTTTAAGGTGTTTTTCTTGCTTCTCTTCTAAAAGACTACAAGGAAAGTATGTAAATTCAGACCAAATCAGCTTGATTTTTGCAAAATCAGCACCTTCAGCAAGGTCCAAATTTATACCCTGTTTTGAGTATTGCCAATTAAGACAATATTTTTTCATACATTTTGATGTCATGTTGCTTTGAACATCTCAGGATGCTTGAAGTACAGAATCATAGACTCATGGAATGGTTGGGTTGGAAGGGGCCTCAAAGATCATCTCATTCCAGCCCCCTGCCATGGGCAAGGACACCTTCCACTCGACCAGAGCAACTTAACTTTATGGAGCTTTTCTGTGAATGCTGGAAGGGAGAAGGCTGGGAGGGGTATTTTTAGCATGTAATTTGTGGTTTGGTTTTGTTTTAAATTCAAATGACTTTTTATTGGCCGTTACAGTTTTATTTGTGATCTGGTTTTATGGATTTATAGCATGTGTGTTTTATCAGGTAGTTTTGTTTTCATTTTTCAAATGTACTGTAAGGGAAGTGATAACTTTAACAACCTTTAAAAGATATTTTAAGGGGGGGAATTTTACAGCAAACTGCTGTGATCTTATAAATCATGTATGACTGGACTGAGGGAGTTGAACAAGAGACTTCTAGGTGCTACACAGAGCACCACTGGTGTTTTAAGGGGATAGCATTTTTCCCTGAGTCCTCACTGAAAACTCCTCACTTTGGTTTGGCAAATACATTATTTTTCCAAGCCCTTCACTATTGCCTCTTTTTTTTTGTTACCATCTCTTCTGGAATGAATTTTCTTACTGTTCCTTAGCTGATTTGCTGTGAAGTCAGGGTTGCTTATGTCACTTTCTATCCAGCACAAGTTGCTCCAGGTATCTTTGCTCACCAAAACCTTTCTGTTGCCTTTTCTCTAAAAGCAGTAATAAACAATTGCTCAATTTAGAATCTCAAGAAGGTGCCAGACTAGGCAGTAAACTAAAGCTTCAGCACAGTATCCTGTCACTGAGATGTCAGCCCTGGGAAGTGGTGCCTGTTGAGGTGGTTTCCTGAAGCTCTATCTTTAATGAGTGTTTTCTTTAATCAATCTCTTTGATCAATCTCTTTGAGTAACTACCCTTGTGTAGCACTTCAACACACTGGAAAATCCCATCACTCTGCAGCAGGGTGAGGTCAGCAAGTATGATTGTAAGTTTTGCAGGATGAGAAACAACTGGCAGGATGTGGCTCCTTACACACATTATCCTCCTTATCTTTTATTCTTCCAACTGCTGATTTAATATAGCAGATTTTCTGCGGTGAAAGTCTGTTTGTCAAGCCAGCCCTTAATATGAGGTGGGAATTTGCCCTCTCTAACATCCTGGGAACTTGCCCATAGGGAAACAGCAGTGGTGGAAATCCTGTACTGGTTTCTGCAGTCAGAGTGCTGGATTGCTGTTGTCTATCAAATCTTTGGAGACTGCTTCCATTTTGTAGATCTTAATCTTACTTAGTCCTATGTCAAACTTCATAGTTATTTACAGCAGTCATAGAATCACAGGATGGTTTGGGTTGGAAGGAACCTTAAAAATCATCTAATTCCAATCCCTGTCATGAGCAGGGACACCTTTCACTGGAGCAGGTTGCTCAGAGCTCCATCCAACCTGGCCTTGAACTGTGCCAGGGATGTACCACACATCATGATTGTTAATCTATTACATTGACTGTGATGTTTTTGTTTGTTTTTCATTTAAATCCTCAGACTCCTCCTACATATTTAAAAGCCCACGGAAAATGTGGGGCTGATGCAAGGTGCTGTAGCTTCATGGTAGCCAGAGATCTCTTTTGAGATGTGAGGGAATGTATCACTCATAGGTAGCCGCCACAATTTTCAGGCTGTGACTTCAAAAAAATACTCTTGCAGATGGCTTGTAAGCTGCATGGATAGCTCTTCTTTCAACTTTGTTCATTAATTCTTTAAAAAATGGATAAAATATTATATGACAAAAATAAATATACAGTTTTTTTAAATCTAATAGATTCCTTAGCTAACTTAAACTTTTGGTTACAGGCAAAACTCAGTTCTGAGTTTTTTCTGCATACAAATATTCATGTTCCCCAGTTTTAACCCATGTAATAGTAAGGACATGCTTATATAATTGCATCATTGACAAGGCTCTTAAACTGATGTTTAATTTTAAATCCTTGCAGTTCTACAATAGATGATTTTGAAAGAGCTGGTCATTTATGTGATCAAGACTACATTTTTGTTTTCAAAGAACATCCTATTAAATCACAATTGTGGCTTACTTTAAGTATAATCATTTGCAGGGTCTTGTTTTCTCAGTTTATGGAAGTGTTTTCAATAAAATGGCAAACATTTGGTAGTGCCAGTTAGACTAAGCAGTGGGGGACAGAAAGACATTTTCATTCTCGTAGGCTTTCCAGGTGTTATTTAAAAATATTTATCCAATGTTCAAAAATTCTCTAAAAATAGTTTTGTTTTTCTAAAGCAAGAAATAATTTGGAAGCTTTGAGAATAGATAAGTGAGAACATCTCTGAGAAATGAAACTGGATACAGTCTATCTTCCTACACATATGTTATCTACATTACAGTAAAAGAGTTTTTGTTCCAAATGTTGCCATCCTCCCAGTGCCTTTCATTTCTCCTTGTGATTCCTGATTATGGGATCACTTTTAGACCTTTACTGAAGTAAAAATGTAAGGGAGGCTCTATTTTTGTTACACATTGCTGGAAGTTGCTTCATTGTTTGGATGGAATTTACCTAAAATTTCTCAGTCATGTAAACATTTGGACAAATATTTATAGTTTCAAATAACTCAGATTCATTTAGTTAATAAAAGAAGAACTTCTTACCAGAAAAATTTGATTCTTTCCCAGAAGCTTGCAGCAAGGAATGTTACAGATTCCTGAAACGCACATTTGAATTGCATGATCATCACTCGTGCTGCAGAGGCCTTAGGGAGACTGGAATTAGTAAATTAAGTCCTTTTTATCTGGGTTTCCACACTTTAGATTGTAAGGTTTTTTTAGTTTCAAGAGGAGTAGTAAATTCACATTCCTCTCATTATGTATCCATGTATTTGAAGTTGTCGTTTTTTCATAAAGTATAAACTACAGACCATCACAAAGACAAGATAAATAGAAAGAAACTGTTTTTCTAATCAAGGAATTTCTGTTTGACCTGATATTTTGATGGGGAAGGGAAGCAAAAAGAAACATGCATGTATCAAGTATGTACCAAGTTTTCACTTCTGTTGCAAAACAAACCCCAGTTTTGTTACTTGGGGAAAAGAACGTACTGAAATAGTTTCTGTTTTTCCTTTAGTTAACAAATTATTTATCTGTATTGTATGTAACAAAACACATGCCAGACAAAGGATTAGACACAAAGTAAGGTACCTATCACTTTCTGTTTTCTATTTATTCCCATAATTTTTAACAGTGGAGTGTTTTTCAGAACAGAAGTTTTCTGAGTGCCCTTGACGAAGGGGAAATATTTGGCTAAGGGGTTGTTTCTCTTAGCGTGGGTGGGATGTAAGAAAGCTCACGTTTGGGAGTGGATAAAAAATCCAAAAGGGCCAGTCATCAGTAATTTGGAGATTGGGAGGTGAGTGTGAGAGGAAATGGGAGAGACAGGTGGAGCCAATGTTGGGTGAGCTGATGAGATGAGATCTGGCAGTGTGAGCCAGGGAGGACTTCAGGAGCAGCCCCAGCTTGAAAGATTCAAGAAGACATTTTGTGTCAGTGCAGTGTGGTTCCAGTATGGAGTGTAGCCAGGGGCCTACTTCTGTTTTCTGGTTTTGTCCACATTAAAAAATTACAATAAAAATAAAGACAAAGAAAAAAAACCCCTAGTAATTTCCTTTAGCAGACTTCCATCACGTAGGAGGTCCAAGCACCTTGCTGTTCCTGTCAATGTTGATGCAATTGTGTCAGCAATTTTGCAGGTTTTTTTATCTAACAGAATGTTAGATAAACTTGCTAAGGTGGATCCTTTGCTGTGTTGGAGCTGTAAGCACATTAAAGGAGTATAAAGCTGACCTGCATCTAAAAATAGAAGTACCTGGCAGAATGCA